ACTTGGATTACTCGGCGTAATTGCTTCCAGATGAGGTAGATTTCCAAATTTTCCCTTGAGGAGGAAACTCATCTGGAGGCGTTCGCAGTACCCCTTCCAAAGGTCCCAACCATTTTCATTTTAACCAATTAACGCTCGGTTTTGAGCCTGCCGTGATTGGGCGGTTTTCCTCGCCGCCCACCCTTAAGTAAAAGTAGGGATAACCGAGGTGACCTAGTGGATGTCACACGGTTATTCGACAGTCTTGATCCGTCAATGGAAACAGAGTTTTGATCATCATACCTAGTAGGGAGTTCTAACCGCCTAGTCTGGAGTATAGATAGTTCTGAACCACCAGCAGGGTTCACATCGTAGCACTAGAGAACATACATGTTCTGAGCTAACCACACTGAGTCGAATTAGACACTCTAGGTTCGTTTCAGGTCTCCCGGGAAGCTAATTGTTGAAGCACCCGGTTAACAAAAATAGTAATTTAGTCGGCACACTAACGTGCAAATTACAACAAGGCTCGAACGATCGCAAGATCAACCACGAGCAGTAACAATTAATTTATAGCTATTTGGGGCTAAAAACAATAAATTGTATACCACTACACGCGGAAAACTCTCCTCTATCTTTTAAGATGGATTACTAGAACTTTCTAATGTTTTTATTTTTCATGCAATACCTTATTTTTGTCAAAAATTCTGGGTTTTTACACAAGCTCGTTTTTTTTCGAAAACGAGAAGGTGGAGCAATTCGATTTTCAGATACTTGATCAGGGGGTGAAACTCTACAAGAATTTCATAGCGGCTGTAAGAAATCAAAAATCGTGCCCGACGGTAATATTTTAATTATTTGTAGTGATGATTCAAAAGTTGTAACAACTCGACCTTGAATTTTCTAAATTGTCGCAAGAGTGTAAGATAGTCGAAGCACAAGCCACGAAATCTGCAGTATGGGGGTGGTGGTAGGGGCTTTCTTAGCCAAGTTGCTCTGTCGTCATCGCAAGGTCCAACGCGACCGAGGTATGGACCACTAAAGACGCAGTAACAGTAGACATTTTCGAACGAATCACCGAAAGGTTTATCGATGTCTAAAAACAAAATTCATTAGGTATCAAACATAGAGCAGATGCTGGAGGTCCTCCGAAAGGATTGCTATATTTTATTAAACAAGTTTATACGCAGTGCTAAGGTACCCTGTGTATTTAGTTATCATTTATATTAATAAATAATTATTTTTCAGGAAGCCGAAAAAGAGCAGAAAGCACCGTGAACCGTATAAGGTGGACAAGGAGTACCAATTTAAATAATTCCGTGAAAGAACGGAACAAAAGACATTATGCTGTGAAATCCTACAAGAACAGGGCAAAAGGACATATGCACACACCGGATCAGGCGTACGGTTTCAGGTATGGAGAGATACAGATATTCAATAATTTCTCATCCAGATATTAAGATATTTTAATCTATTACCGCGATTGTTAATTTCAGGCAAGTTGCAGATGGATATGGCACTTTAAACAGCGGTACAGCATCCGTGCAGTAACGGCATCGGGGGAGAAAGCTAGTGCCGACGCGGCTGCAGCAGTGGCGTTCGCGGTAGCATTCCAACAGAGGATCCGGAAAGAGTCTTCCCTGAGAATACATTTATAACATAGATGAATTTGCAATTTTCTGGAAATGAATTCCCAGGAAAACACTTGTCGGGTTCTCCGAAAAAAACTGTACGGTAAAAAGGTCAGGAAAGATAGATTAACAATTGGGCTTTGTGCTAATGCCATTGGCACGCACAAATTAAAGCCTTTAATAAATTTAGTAATCCCAGAGCCCTGATATACCACCGGCATCTTCTGCCGGTGGTATTTATGGCCCAAACAAACGTGTGGGAGGACCGCGCTATGTTTTGCAGGTGGTAAGAGATATTCAAGGACGAGGTACGACAACGTCAGTTCCAGCAGGGTGTTGTCGAAAAGGTGATCCTGCTACTGAATAACTGCACAGCACACGGGATCGACAGACAATCTAAAATGGACCCTCAGTTTGAGATTGTCTGTCTCCCGCCCAATACCACCTCTCTAATCCAACCCATAGAACAAGGAATTTTTGCCAAAATTAAAAATACCTACCGACACAAATTCTTGCAGAATTTAGCGCAGACCGGAGGTTTAGTGGAGGTTTCTTCAAAACCTTCAACATAAAAAACTGCATTGACATTTTGCAGGAATGTTGGGAATCAGTTGATTTCAGGAACATTCAGAATTTCTGGAATCAGTTAAAAAGAGGTGTGACATTAGAAGCAAAGATCGATCGAATGTGCGCGGTTGACAAACCAGTAGCAGATCGATACGATGCCCTGCTGGAAGACGACAATGACGACAATGACGACGATGACGATGATACAGACACCATCAGATTGAAAAAAGAAATAGAAGACCTGGTGCTTTTCACGAAGCTCAGGCCTCCGTCGGATGGACCGTACCAGGTGCCCGCATTGGATGAGCGTGCGAAAAATATAATGAGGTACTTGATGGAAGAGGACCCAGCAAAGGCACAGGAGGTATTAAGCTGCCTGGAGTCATTCCTATAACTTTCTTCAAGACCATCGCCATCACTACTGATAGCAAAGATCAAAGTATTGATTTTTATAAACATATCAAACACAAATGAAGGAATAGCCATCGAATAATTGATCTTTTGTATATTACAGATTCCAGCATGGGTTTCAAAAATCCAATCCCACCTTCTGGAGTATATTTTCAGTATCGATGAGACCCGGGCATCGCCTTCTTCTAAATAAAAAGGCGGCAAACGAAGCTCTGGCAAAATAATAACGGCCCTTTTCAGAGCCTCAAATTCATACAAGCAGAATAGTTCGTCCTTATTCACTCCAGAATTGATAATGTCAATGCAATAATAAACTACCATTCTCTATTTTACCCAGAGCTACAAACAACATTTCATTATTGTTCCTTCGCGAAGGAACAAACACGTGGAGTTTTTTGATGACACGGACGTGACCACGGTTGGAGTTTAGACAAGGACCACTTCTACAACCATTTGGCTTCCAGATTGTCTGGACGTCGTCCCCAATAGCCGGACATATCATAAAGCAGACGTTTTTTAGCTCGTCGTAAATGAGCTAGCAGCAACTAGCATCTGATGTTATTTCCGTTTTCCTTGACAACCATAAGGTCCCATAAACCCGGAATTTCCGTAGAGTCAGCCGACGTCGAGCGCGCGACAGAGCCCGCTACCTGAGTTGACCTGACGGAATTTCCGGGGCACGAACAAGGGTCGCAGAAACTCCACGACCAAGCGACTAGCGTTCCTCCCCCCCCCCCCCCCCCCCCCCCCCGGTGTTGNCCTTCCCCCCCCCCCCCCCCCCCCAGGACAAGTTCAGACAAGGAACCACCAACATAAATAGATGAGCTAAAACAGTCGAAACACACATTGCAATTCTTCGCGTACACACGAGCAGTCAGTCATTCATTTTTTTTACGTACAGGCGTTACATGTTTTCTCGGTCGAGCAGAACACAAGTCTCCTCATTCTTACGTTCACGAACAGTCAAACCGACCACACGTCTCATCCCTTTTTTCATATCACGGAACAGTACGCGCAACCACTACTCGAACATTTGAATCCGATTGCCCAAGATTAATTTGGAGGGCAATCAATCGGCGACATAGGAGCATACTCGTCCATCAGTACAATCCGGGCCTTGCAACCCCGGAAGGGTTCAAATCAATGCCCGCGCGTTTCCTTACGTCCGCCGAGTCAATCCAATTATATTCCTAGTTTCGATCATAGCTTCGATAAGTACGAAATTATCTGCTGCTTACGAAACTCTTTCTCGTAGAGTATAATATTGACTGTTGGCCAGGATGGCTGAATTTAAAAAATTCTATAGATTCTTAAACTAAAAACCATTAGTAACGAATCTAACTTACGGTTTTTAGAAAATTTCAGTAATTGTAATAAACTTAATAAATAATTCTTAACTTTAAATCTATAAAACTCTGAGTTTGAGAATTTTTTTGTAGATAATTACTATTAGGTCTAGTAATAATTAGGGTTTTTGGCACATCACTGATCGCCGCATTCAGTGGGCCCGTGCATTTCCCGCGCTGTACGTACACGGCGGCCTGCATTTCGTCGATTGCGCCCCGAACACCTGGTGGTACCAGCAGTGGTCCCTGTTCTTGGGGGACGCGCTCCGACGCCGCTCTTTGGATTTCGAGCGACCACGGTAATTAGGCCGGTTGGATCTCTTCGGCGGACGCGACCGGTCTCGTTCCGCCATCCGCGCCTCTATTTGATCCAACCGGTAGAGCACCTGGTCCAGCGGATCCTTCCGCGCCGTCGAGACGCTGGCCACTTGGTTGCTGGCTGTTCCTTCGTGGATCCGGTCCGCTATGTCCGCCAGCACGTCGAGTGGCAGACCAATTTGCGCATTGATGATGGCTTTCGCCATCGCCGGCAGCCTGTTGGCCCATAGTGTCTTGAGGCAGGTCTCCGTCATTGTTTCCCCGGCCAGACTCTGCATGTGCCGTAGGAGCTGGGACGGTGTACGGTCGCCGATTTCCTCCTGCCCGAAAAGTCTTAACATTTTCTTGCTTTCCGAGGCGGACATGCGTCGTATGAGCGCCCGTTTGAGCGTCTCATATTTGTCGGTTTCCGGGGACGCCGTGAAGATGTCCCATACCTCCTCTGCGTATTTGGCATCGAATTGGGCCATCACATGGCAAAATTTGGTGCTATCTGCCGTGATGCCGCTTATCGTGAACTGCGCCTCAATTTGGTTGAACCAGATCTCTGGTCGGTCCGGCCAGAACGGCGGTATGCGTATACCTACGCGGCAAACCTCCGGCGTCGCGGCACTCTCGCGGTTCACTTCGGTATTCATTTTATTATTTCTATGTAACTGTCTGTGTCTAGTCGCACTGCACTTATTACCGCACAGCACTAATGATCGCGTCGGGGTCACCAGTTTCGGGTAGGGTAGTTCGAAATCAATAGTACGCTCGTGTGCGGTGGTAGAAACTTCTTTATTTTCGCGGACTATGTCTTCGGACTATCCTACCCGAAACTGGTGACCCCGACGACGAACGCAACGACGACGACGACGACGCAACCTTCCGATCAACCTATATCATTGTAAATATTGTACATAGTAGCATTAAGGCTCAGATGTAGGTTGATTCAGTTGGGATCAGGATCAGGTAATGTTTGCATTACCTCGGGCATTAAAACGCGGTCAAGTCGAGCAGAGCCACGAAGGCATCCTTACGACCGCGTCGATGCCCACGAGGTATAGCAAACATCTAGCATGGAGAGGACCATCATCTTAGATATCGTTATCCACTGGCGGGGGGGGGGGGGGGGGATAGGGGG